TTCGAAATGCCTGCAAAAGGACAGCCATAGAAATATGATATATCTGCTTGGGTTTGAAATTCTCAGTATTTGTATTTCTCGTGCTTGTGAACAAGCTTTGGTCGTTAAGAAATGGACTTGTTACATAAATGGGAACACGTCTTGTTTTGCAAGGGAAGCAAAGTTCCCTCGACCTGAATGGAACTTGGGAAAACAACCGATAAATTCTTGTGTTGGTTTTATTTCTTTATTGTTTTTGTTTTGTCCTGTGTTATTTTTTCTTTCATGTTCTGACATCGTTTCTGTTTGTTGTTTTTTCTTCTTAGCAAGCAGTAGCCGTTTCCAGCAAGTTGTTCGTTCTAATCGCCAGCCAGGGCTGACAGTGAAGCTGATTTCCCATCAAAAAAGAGAAATATATGAGTAAATCCCATCATTTTGTATGTATCCGTTTTTCTTGTTAAACTAACCTCATTTGATGCGACTGATATTTACTTATGATGAGATCCGTACATGTATTTTCGATAAAATAACTAATATCTGACGCCGCATCTTATTTAGACCTACCAATCAACTGGTTATAAAACACTGTTTTCCTTGACTTTGTTGACTTTCAAAGGAGCTGAACGATTAGCTTTAAAAACTCTTCAGCGTTTGATTATTTATAACTAGTAAGATTATCAATCACTCAGATGCAAATTTCAACCAATCATGGTTTCGCTTACACGACGTTTGTCAAGGATGGTGCTTGTCACGTTGGTTCACTTCCGGTTCATCGGTTCCACAATTTACAATCGTATACAGTAGTTGTCTTTGTTTTATGATATCTCTTAATGTTTGACTTAAAGTTCTATGCAAGAATGAGAATCCAAGTTTTGATCTCAATGCCCTAATTTTTATTTTATTCTCCTCTATTTGTTGTCATTGAGCAGTGACAATATTTCATAAGTTGTTATTTTGTATCTCTTTGCAGCATGTTACCGGACACTTTATTAACATGTCACATGTACGCTCAATTCATTTCTTTGTACCACCAACTGCTGACCGAGGTTGTAATGGGCGAAGGGCGCGACTCACAAGTTGAAGGTAATTTTTGGACTGTTTGGTACATGCGCAATAACGAAACCTCTTGCTCGTGTTTCTGGCTTCTTTCATGTTCTTTCCATGAGGGAAGCATTGGTATTAATATTTAATACGAGATTGTAGAAGTCTTTAATAGAAACATTACTATACTAAGTTAAAAGTAAGCATTAACTTAATTTCAACTCTCATTTTACTGAGCAATGATTGTATTTCGTGTTTCAGGGTTTATCGTGGATCCTGTGATATCTACATTTTCCAAAATTCTTTATACCAGTGACGTCATGGATGCTCTGAAGGTACGCGCGTGACTATCACGTGAGCACACATTAACAATCCCAAAGGAAGCAAGCATTTGGAGAAAAAGTACAAGATTAAAAGGATAGTAGAAAGCTGCAGTTTATGAAATATGATTTTGTGACAGGATATTCGGAAAAAGACCCTGCCAAAAACGAGAAAACGTCACTATTTTACAGACGACCCTCCAGCCCTGCATTCTAATGGATGATAGTATAGGAGTAGCTCATCCAATCAGATTGCAGCATTTGCATTAGTACACTGGTAGAAATTCTACTAATACAACATATTGGCTTAATTCGAATCATTCCCCTGACCAT